GAGTGAGTGAGTGAGAGAGTGAGTGAGTGAGTGAGTGAGTGAGTGAGTGTGAGTAAGAGCACTTCGAGATTCACAAAGTGCTGTGCCTGCCACGAAATCTGCGCTTCAAGGTTCACAAAGTGCTGTGCCTGCCACAAAATCTGCACGTTGAGGTTCACAAAGTATTGCGCCTGCCACGAAATCTGTACTTCCAGGTTCACAAAGTGCTGCGCCTGCTACGAACTCTGTACTTCGAGGTTCACAAAGTGCTGCGCCTGCTACGAAATCTGCACTTCGAGGTTCACAAAGTGCTGCGCCTGCTACGAATCTGCACTTCAAGGTTCACAAAGTGCTGTGCCTGCCACAAAATCTGCACTTCGAGGTTCACAAAGTACTGTGCCTGCCACGAAATCTGCACTTCGAGGTTCACAAAGTGCTGCGCCTGCTATGTAAATCTGCACTTCGAGGTTCAAAGCGCTACGCCTGCCACAAAATCTGTACTTCAAGGTCCACAAAGTATCAGGTACTGCAGCTGCCACCTGCCACATGTAGAAAAGTCACGATGCACTGCACCTGTCACGAAGTCAGAGCGCGTCGAAGATCACCACCATGTCCACAGCGCTGCGTCTGCTACGAAATCTGCACTTCGAAGTAAACCGCTCCGATCCCTTGCATCTGTCACGAAAAGTCGACTTTGGACCACCAAAAGCACAAGGTTTCCCTTGCACCTGCCACGAAAAGTGACCACCATGTCCCAAAATGCACACGGCACCACAACGAGAGCGCAGTCGCGACAAGCACCCGCCGCGCCCACGCAGACTTTGCGAGCCTGGGCCTCCGCAGTCAAAATGCACTCCGAGGATTTTGAGAGGCATGAATGTACTTGGCCGCACACGAATGCGCAACACCTCGAATTAAACACCGGTGCTAACCCCTAGTGTGTCCACACTGTTTGGGGAAAAAAGGGAAGGAGTGGATTTGACTGGTGGTCGCAACAATCGATTCAACTCCGAAGAACCCAGCGGGTAATTCCTGCTCAGGACTCCTACTGGCTCTTCTTGACTCCCACCACCAAGCTAAGAAACCTCCAAGAATCCCTCCCACAACCCTACGCCCAACGAAGTGCTTCCCAACCAAGCGTCGTCCAAGTTGATGTTCTTCTTGGCACTCACCTCCACCATGGGAACATCGCCACCCCAATCTTCAGCGATCAAACCTTCCTCGGAGAGCTTTTGCCGGGTCATCTGCGCATCTGCACCGTCCTGGGCGACACAAGCGCTTCGTTGGCACCGTATAGGCTCGCACGAACTCGGGCAAACATCAAATCCACAGGTACTTGGTGGGATCTGTTTGAAATGGCTCTGTACTTGCACCATCTGCCATCTGCCCTGAAAATCCATGAAATCCAATGATTGACATGCAAACCCGTCAAGTTGCAGCCCAACGCTTCATCTCCCTTTCCCCCTTCCCCTTCCTCGCCTTATCAATCTTGTTGATGGCCACAATGATCGGCACCTCCGCCGCCCGCGCATGCGCGATCGCCTCGCGCGTCTGGGGCATCACCCCGTCGTCAGCGGCCACCACCAGCACCGCGATGTCGGTGACCTGCGCGCCTCTCGCGCGCATGGCGGTGAAGGCCTCGTGCCCGGGCGTGTCCTGGGCGATAGATGGCATCACGGGATATAAAAAATCAACTTCTAAAAATCATAGAAAGCTGAAAGCGTGGGCCTCTCAAATTGTCTGGGCTCAAATCCCTCACTGGTGGCACAAGATGGCTTGGCCAAAACACTACCATCAAGAAATAGAAACATGCCGCCCGCTTTGTGCGGAGGGCTTTCAGAGGCCAAGGCTGCCACGGCTGCCAAGGCTCTATGAAGGTGATCTGTTGCCCATCCAGTTCCACCGTATAGGCGCCGATCCGCTGGGTAATGCCCCCCGCCTCCGTGGCCGCCACGCTCCGTTGCCGCAGGGTGTCCAGCAAGGTGGTCTTCCCATGGTCCACATGCCCCATGACCTGCCAGCAACAAGAGCGCTGCGAACGGGTCTCCTGGCCATACTACTAGGAACAAGGATGCTACGGACGGGGCTCCTGGCATTGCTACTAGGAGCAAGGACGCTAGGGGCTCTCCGGCACCGGTCGGAGGCCGGAGGTCGAAGGTCGGAGGCCGAGGTCGGGCTCCGAACAGCGGTGTTGGGTCTGGTGGGAGGGACATGTGACATGCTGTGTGGCTGAATGTCCCCTACCCAAGCAGAAGCGTTGCTGTGATGTTCCTGTGGCCCAAAACTTCAGAGAACGAATCAGATTGAGGACAAGAGCCGGGAGCTCGAGAGAAAGACATGACGTTGGGCTTGTCTGAAAGAACAAAAACACTCATATTATCATGTGTGCTCTATATATGTCATAATTATAACAATATAAACAATCTGTGTGTCTCTATATGTCAACGATAATTATATAATGTTGCTTTATATTTCCCTTCTGCCTCCATTACAATATGTCATAATTCTTTCCAACCGCCCACCACCAAGTCTCCCCAGTCTCCCGAAATGGTGAGCCATTGAGCCAGGTCACTGTGACCACTGGAGGGCGAGGCTCAAGGTGGTCACCCTCCTGTTGTTCTGCCAGAAAGCCCCGGTCGCCCGCCGTGGTGGTCTTCTCATCATCGAAAATGTATTCCAATTCATAATGATTGCAAACCTCTTCAATCAATTCCTTTTCCAAGACGTCGTTGATCGTCATCGGCTTACCCTTCTCAGCGAAGAAATAGGTGATGATCTGGGCCACCGGCGTCCGAATCAACGAAGCCAGCTCACCCAAAGTCATCCCATCCGCTGGCAGAATGAGATCATCAAGTTCAAGTTGCTCCGGCGGCTCCTCCTGACCCAAAGGACCCCGTGCCCACCCTGTGGTTGTGCTCTAATTAAAGCTGTGAAAAACTTGATTGAACATGGTTCCACAATCAAGTCCTGCTTCGGTCCACGGCCTTTCCGCTTGGGCCGCGCGCAGCGCCACGTCACCGCCCCCGCGCGGGACTCCCGACGCCCGCGGCGACTCCGCGCGGCACCCGCCGCGAGCCCGGCACTGCCCGCGGCCGTCCACGCCACGGTCCGGGCCGTCCACGCCGGGCGGCGCGGAGCGCTGGGCGGAGCGCTCGGCGCGCCCGCCAGCGGAGCGCTCGGCTCCCGAGCGCGCCAGGCGCTCGGCCGCGAGGGCGACGCGGCAACGATGAAGGCCGCCATGGTGCCGGGGGGAGGTCTTAAGGTCCAAACATTGGGACTGAATCTGCAGGCAAGCAACTTGCGGAGGATCAAAATAACGTGCATTTGGAACAAAGTGCCCAGGGGATGTGACAGCAAGCCTCTTATGGGGGGACCGCACTTAGACAAACGCCCTGCTCCTCCGCATTCAGCATCCATGCCCGCGTTGAAACTCATGGCACCCTCGCGAACGCCTGGGAAGCAGAAGAGTTTCCTGGAGTTGTAATTGGCCAACCTGGGAAGATCTTTTTTGTATAATGAATAGAATATGATTTGTTGACAACCCGCTCCTCCATGAGTCTCTCTTTCAACCAACCAATACCGTGTCTTTGCCCAAGTCAACGAATAGGTTGCTCTCTTCAAGATGTTCGTTGGGAATGCGTCTTTCCATCTCCACCCTTCAAGGAGCATCGGTATGGAAAAACACATGAAAACACCACACGAGGCCATGTATGTTGGGTCTTTTGCCCGCGAAGCGTGATCCACCCTGCCTTCCCCCGAAGACCCTCCGATACTGCATCCGTTCATTTAGAGCTCTTCACCTGGCCTTACTGCTTCCTTGGGGCTCAGCTCGACAGGTCACAGAGCAATCGTCAGCTCGTCGCCATGGACCCCACCGGTCGACGCCTCCGGGCCGTCGTTCTCGGCAACGCGGAAGACGCTCAAGGATCACCGATTCTTCATCGGGTAAACAGATTCTCTCCGATTTCCTTGTGAACATGCAGAGAAAACAGTCCTTGCATGTTGGTTCTTCCCCATTTGGATCCACAAGATCCCACAAGGCCATAGATTCCCGTTCCGCACAAAGGGATTGCCAGAGGTGCAAAACACAGGTTAGGACAGGACGGTTAGAAAAAGTCTGCAGTTGGTTCATGGGTCAAAAAGTTGTACGCTGATTTGATTCATCCCCATCTCTTATCCTCACATGTACTGTACAAGCCTGAGCCTTGATGTTGGTGTGCTGCGAATGGGTGCTTGGGAACTGTGATGTGTAAATTCTTTCAAGGGATCTTTGTCTCACACTTTTGAAGGCCTACGGGCTCGGTGAAAAAGAACGGGCCCGGTGATCACCTGTGATCATCTTCCTGCACCGCCCGCAGCAAATCTCCAAAGGCCCTAAGCGCCAACAAAAGCCCACCTGCTGCGCGTGCCGTCGCAGAAGGGTTCGCAGGGCGTCTAGACGGTAAAATTGGAGTTCTTGCAGTCCACCGGGCAATTCTGAGTGTTGCAGGCCACTGCCTCACGAAAAGAAAGGCTGAGCAAGGCGTCAAGTGGGTGTGGACCAAAACCTTGAGCGCTTGGTGTTTGGCCCAAAATACCTTCCCCACACATTGATCCTCTACCAGCTGGCCATGATACTCCATATGCATCTTGATGCGGATGGAAAGCCGAAAGTGTTCCTTAAATTAACAGGCGATGTTTTAGAAACATTGAATCCAAAAGTGCTACAATTACTGTAGACATGTTGTTCCATTCTGTTCCTTTACCGGAAAGTCCTGGCTGTCGGACAAAGAACGTTCAAAAAAGAAAATAAAAACACCGACCAGTCCCGCCTGCGAGCTGTTGCCATCGCAAGCTTGGCCTTGACTCCCTTGACCAATCTCCTTTTTACCTTGGACTCAGGTTACGGTAAACTGCATCTCCGATATCTCCCGCAATGTGTGGATCTTCTGAGACTGGAAAGATGATGGAAAATCCAGAGTCGCAGTCGCATCTCCTTCCTATGTCATTTCTGTAGAACTCCTGAGATCCGGGTGGCTGTAGGTGCAAGAGCCCGCTTCATGCTCGAAGCTCACACCCTTCTTGCAAACCTGGGCGTGAAGGACTCCGAACGATCCACCACCCCATGGAATGTCCGGGACGGAGGGTTCAGATCCACATCTGGTATGGACTTCGTTAAGCTTTGGACAGGGTGTTTCGGTCTTATTGGCAAAAAGCACTGCCCAACAAGGGATAGGTCTGTGTCAATTCATAAGACACGGTACTTCTCCCATTTTCTATGTCAGTCTTTCCACCCCCTTCACCCCTTTCACCGGGGCCACTGTAAACAGCTGGGGTGCAGTGAGTACTCCATGGCACCCTTCATCATAGAGCGCCTCGCACTCAGCATCGGCGCCTAAGTGGGCCATCACGCGTTTTGGGGACAAAACGACGAGGACGACGTTCCAGGAGAACCACACGAGGTCACGAGGTCGCCCGCACGAGGGTCACTTCTTGTTCGCTCGTCCTCTCTTGTCGTTGGTCTTTAAGAACCCATGGCCATTCCAACGTGTCCGGTCTTTGGGTGCATCCAATGGTCAGTCTCACTTGCCGCTCCTTCGGTCCCCCAACCGTGCCCAGTGGTTTCGGGCCGTTCTCGGGCCGTGCCCAGGCGGGTTCTCGGGCCCCAGGCTGCAGGTGGCCTCCGCGCGGTTCGGAGCGCCCGCCAAGGCACCCAGGCTGCTGGCAGAGCACCTGAGAAGTCACAGGGCAGGAAAATGTGTCATCTGACCATCTCATCAACAAGGAGGTAGAACGAGATCCCATCTGAGGAAAATCCATCGATCTGAGAGGATCTTGTCCTTCAGGGAGAACATTCCCATCTGCTGCGAACGAACATCCGTATGATTATCCACCTGATCCAAAAAACATCCATCTGGTCCCTGGACAGCATGGCTTGAGGTGCCAACAGTTCCGCTTCCGTCCAGACCAAATCAGCACCTGAAGTTCAGCTTCTTCTCATAGCCAAACGCCAACAGGCTGGGTGGTGAAAGCAGTGGTGCCTGAGGCTGGGCAGCTCCAGCTCGAGCTTTCACATAATACCTGAAGGAACCGCCACTGCGCGACGGAGAAAAGAAATAGGCCACGAAAGGCCTATAAAAGAGTGTCTTGGGGGGCATGCAGGGAGTGGACGATCGGATTATGTTGGAATTTCAGAATCAAGCTTGGCTGACCGCGGATCCGGACTTTTTTACAAGACGAGAAAATCTACAGGAATGTGGGTCGTCACCCTAGGACCTAGCTGAATTGACGCTTTGCGTGGGTGCTTTGACGCTGTTGAAAGTGCGAGTATCCTCCCAGTGAAAGACCTGGACATGTGGGACAGCTGCATCTCCAAAAACCAACGAACCCTCCGAACGCACGCGGGAAAATGAAATGATCCGTTTCCGGGAGGTGCGGTTTCTGAAGCTTTAAACACGTCAGCCCAGGTACACCTCACTGCGGCTTCGAATGGACCAGCCGCCCCGGCAGCTGCTGCTGCAGCTGCTCCAGGTGGACCATTCAGCCACTTGGCAATCCATGCAGAAGTTCCCACACTCCTGCAAGCCAAGGCTGATTGTGTCCCCCAGTTCACGTCACACCGCAGGACCTGGGTCACAGAAACATCTTTTTTCAAGGGAAAAGAGTCATAGGAAGAGACAGCTGGCAGCTTCCAAAGATACACAAAAATCCACCTCAAAACAAATGGTACTCATTCTGCAATTCAGCACCATCTTCCTTTACTCCTTTTCCCCTTGACTCAAAAACAATGCAGGGGCAATCCACATAGCAATTCTGAGGGTCGAACCTGAAAACAGAACCTCCTTTGGTGGTGACCCTCGTGCGAGGTGTCATGTTAAAGTACTGAGGCACAGGCTGCAGTATTAAGGACCGTAGCTGGCTAAGACCCACAGTCAGCTGAGCAAAGGCCAAAAAATACTTAAGGGCCTAGAGGTACTGGCCCCCAGAGACGATAGAGTTCTTGGGCTAAGAGGGCCTGCGACTCGTTGCTCATTCCACCCATGTAGGTCTGGATCAACGATCCCTCGCCGCCAAAAACCGTGTCCGCAGAAAAGCTGCGGACGCCGACGTTCCTCTTCTGCGACGATCGCAGATCTACCCGGGTGAACTTTGGGGGCCGAGCCTCGTCCTCATGACCAGCCTCAGAAATATGCTGGTGACAACCTGTGATCCACAAGACGAACGCAAACCTTTCCACCCATCCTTCCGGTCCCTCCCACACACCCTGCACCGCCAAACGCCCCGCACGGCGAGACGCGCCTTCGTCTCCAGCAACGGCCCACAGGCTTGACCCCCATCCACTGCTTCCAACATCACAGTCCGTGTCCGGTTCTTTTCACCTCAGCAGCTTCTGACATGGTCAGAAAGAAAAACTGATACAGTCTGTACATGCGAAAGATTATTTTAAAGGAAAGGACAACAGAAAAAAGACAACAATCTCTTTGATGAGTTGGATTGCAGGAAGATGAACTCGCTCTCTGGTACAAAGTTGTCTGCTAGTGATCTTTCGTGTAATTGTATAATTGCGAAAGAAGCACAGGCCCCCCAAGCCAGAGAGGGATCAAGGCTTTTCAGCGTAAACCAGTGGATCCTGCGTGAGCATTACCTATTTAAAGTATGTTGAGGAGTTATATCTTATATAGATAGAGAGATGATGTGTGTATATATATATATACATATATTGAACATTTTTCATGCACATGCTTCTGCTGGGCCACCAGAGCAGTAGGGGGGCACATTCCGTCCATTCAGTCCAATCGAGCAACACGCAGTCCACGGGGCACCTGCCGTCGGTCCACGGAAACCGAGCTTCGGCGACCCAGTGGGACCCCGAAGAGGTCGGGCCGGAAACCTCTTGCTGTGGCACCAGAGGATGTGTACTAGTAACCAGAAACTACTAGGGACAAAGGGCATCGCTACGAACGGAGCAAGGACGCTACGAACGTAGCTCCTGGCCTTACTACTCGTAACAAGAAGCTACGAGGTTAGGGCGGGGCCATCGAAGCGTTTTTCCATGTTTTGGAGGAACAGGACGGCTTGGAGGGACGGACGGCAATACTCTTCACATCTCACCAAGTTCTGGCTTCTGGCAATACACCAAAGTGAATTTATCCGAAATGGTCCAACTTTCTTAGATGCCCAACTCCACAGGCCGAACTCCGGTTCCCAATTGGATCGATCCTCCATCCTCCCGAACTCAGCGTCTCGAGGAGTCCCACGGTCTGGCGGCCTTTCGCCGTTGCACGGCTGCTCTTCACTGCTGGGCCCCGTGCAGTTCGTTCCCCCACCAGCCATGGTCACCTGGATGCCACGCCGGTGCTGCTGCGTGCCGCCTGCAGAAACCGCGACCGGGCGCGACCGGCGTCGACCGGCAACCAGCCAAGACCCCAGCTGAGGAGG